CATAAACACCATCAAGTATGGTGTTTATGACGTCGATATTCGTCGTCATAAACACCATCAAGTTTGGTGTATGACGTCGAAATTCGACGTCATAAACACCATCAAGTTTGGTGTTTAGGATGTCGATATTCGACGTCATAAACAGCATCAAGTTTGGTGTTTATGACGACGATATTCGACGTCATTAGCACCATCAAGTTTGGTGTTTATGACGGTGATATTCGACGTCGTAAACACCATCAAGTTTGGTGTTTATGACGGCGATACTCGACGTCATAAACAGCATCAAGTTTGGTGTTTATAACGTCGATATTCGACGTCATAAACACCATCAAGTTTGGTGTTTATGACGTCGATATTCGACGCCATAAACACCATCAAGTTTGGTGTTTATGACGGCGATATTCGACGTCATAAATACCATCAAGTTTGGTGTTTATGACGGCGATATTCGACGTCATAAGCACCATCAAGTTTGGTGTTTATGACGTGATATTCGACGTCATAAACACCATCAAGTTTGGTGTTTATGACGGCGATATTCGACGTCATAAACACCATCAAGTTTGGTGTTTATGACGTCGATATTCGACGTCATAAACACCATCAAGTTTGGTGTTTATGACGGCGATATTCGACGTCATAAACACCATCAAGTTTGGTGTTTATGACGTCGATATTCGACGTCATAAAAACCATCAAGTTTGTTGTTTATGACGTCGATATTCGACGCCATAAACACCACCAAGTTTGGTGTTTATGACGTCGATATTCGACGTCATAAACACCATCAAGTTTGGTGTTTATGACGTCGATATTCGACGTCATAAACACCATCAAGTTTGGTGTTTATGATGTCGATATTCGACGTAATAAACACCATCAAGTTTGGTGTTTATGACGTCGATATTCGACGTCATAAACACCATCAAGTTTGGTGTTTATGACGTCGATATTCGACGTCATACACACTATCTAGTTTGGTGTTTATGACGGCGATATTCGACGTCATAAACACCATCAAGTTTGGTGTTTATGACGCCGATACTCGACGTCATAAACACCATACAAGTTTGGTGTTTATAACGTCGATATTCGACGTCATAAACACCATCAAGTTTGGTGTTTATGACGTCGATATTCGACGTCATAAACACCATCAAGTTTGGTGTTTATGACGTCGATATTCGACGTCATAAACACCATCAAATTTGTTCTTTATGACGTCGATAATCGACGTCATAAGCACCATCAAGTTTGGTGTTTATGACGGCGATATTCGACGTCATAAACACCATCATGTATGGTGTTTATGACCTCGATATTCGACGTCATAAATACCATCAAGTTTGGTGTTTATGATGTCGATATTCGACGTCATAGACACCATCAAGTTTGGTGTTTATGACGTCGATATTCGACGACATACACACGATCTAGTTTGGTGTCTATGACGGCGATATTCGACGTCATAAACACCATCAAGTTTGGTGTTTATAACGTCGATATTCGACGTCATAAACACCATCAAGTTTGTTGTTTATGACGTCGATATTCGACGCCATAAACACCATCAATTAGTTTGGTGTTTATGACGTCGATATTCGACGTCATAAACACCATCAAATTTGTTCTTTATGACGTCGATAATCGACGTCATAAGCACCATCAAGTTTGGTGTTTATGACTGCGATATTCGGCGTCATAAACACCATCATGTATGGTGTTTATGACCTCGATATTCGACGTCATAAACACCATCTATTTTGGTGTTTATGACGTCGATATTCGACGTCATAAACACCATCTAGTGTGGTGTTTATGTCGGCGATATTCAACGTCATAAACACCATCAAGTTTGGTGTTTATGACGTCGATATTCGACGCGATAAACACCATCAAGTTTATGTTTATGACTTCGATAATCGACGTCATAAACAGCATCTAGGTTGGTGTTTATGACGTCGATATTCGACGTCATAAACACCATCAAGTTCTGTGTTTATGACATCGATATTCGACGCCATACACACCACCAATTAGTTTGGTGTCTATGACGTCGATATTCGACGTCATAAACACCATCAAGTTTGGTATTTATGACGGCGATGTTCAACGTCATAAACACCATCAAGTTTGGTCTTTATGACGTCGATACAAATATCTTAAAATAACAATGTTTTTTCGCTACTCTGAGTTTCACGATCTTGTCTGATCGATCTTCAGGCGATTTATGTCCGTTTAATTAGTTTGTTTGATTTCGTGATTTTCGTTGACGGACGCGCTTGCGATGAAAACGTCCAGCTTGGAACCGATCTTTATGGCGACATTTTCCGAATATTTCCGATCGTTTAAATAAGTAACGCTTTCTGGTCTGCTTTCATAATGGATAGTTTCTCTTCGTTACACAGATTACATCGCGAATTACCGGACGCGTAGGGTGTTGAATGTTTCAGACTAGACCAATTGATGGCAAAAGCCTTCCCTTCAAATTTATGTTGCCATATATACTTCGACAGTTCAGTTTCTTTCTCATACCGAATTAAATTAAAAGATTTCTTATGGTTGCGGTATCTTTCTTTAAATGAATTTGCTGTCATGCCTATATATTACTTCTTCAAACCGTCATCGGGGGATGTTACAACTGCTTTGTATACGATACTCTCAGCTTGCAGGCATTTGTTATGCAGGGGACATTCATCCTGATTTATACAGTTACATGGTGTTTCAGGTTTTGTAGCTTCGCTTCTTCCTAAGATTTTCATCATTTTCCGATTGTGCAGTGAAATAACATTCTTAACATTTGGCATACAACTGTAGCTAACTAACTTTGATCGTGTTTCTGTTGAATATTTTGTGAAGTGGATTTGTGGGAGGAAAATGTTTGTCAATAAGTTGCAGAAATCTTCCTTCAACGTTTGTCTTAACTGATTTACTGTATGGGGGATTGAACCATATAACGTTTTTATGTCTCTTTCGTTTCGGTGTTGCAGATGCGTTTAGATCTGGGGGGTTATAGTGTAAGGTTTCCTTAAAGTTTCTTTTCTTCAAGGCTTCTTCGTAAAAAGGTTTTGACTGGTCATACGCCTTTTGGTCGGATGAAAGGGATGATTTACGCGTATTTATTGATTTCGGTATATGCTTAATTATCGAGGGAGGGTGGTTGGAACGACTGTCTACATATTGCGTGGTGTTGAGGGGTTTTCTGTATGGCTCGAATCGATTGGAATTCAAGTCTAAAGTAGCATCTAAGAAATTTGCAAGATGATGACTTACTTCACATGTTATCTTTAGTCCAAACTGATGAAATGTTTCGTTTAACGATTTCCTTGCCATATCAGCGTTCCGAGTTGAATTTCCTTTCACCAAAGCCAAGCCATCATCACGATACAAACCCACATAATTCTTGCCAAAAATCGCCGAGATCTTATTCAGTATATATAGACCAACCAATTCGCATATCTCCGCTCCATCGTAACTACCCATTGCTACATCAAACAACGATTCACTATTTGATTTAGTCCATAGTTTATCGTCACTAAACAAAAGCGATTTACGTGCGTGCTTGATTATATTAATTTCATCATCGCTAATATCGATCATCGTACGTGCCCAATCAAGCACGCACGTAAATCGCTTTTGTTTAGTGACGATAAACTATGGACTAAATCAAATAGTGAATCGTTGTTTGATGTAGCAATGGGTAGTTACGATGGAGCGGAGATATGCGAATTGGTTGATCTATATATACTGAATAAGATCTCGACGATTTTTGGCAAGAATCATGTGGGTTTGTATCGTGATGATGGCTTGGCTTTGGTGAAAGGAAATTCAACTCGGAACGCTGATATGGCAAGGAAATCGTTAAACGAAACATTTCATCAGTTTGGACTAAAGATAACATGTGAAGTAAGTCATCATCTTGCAAATTTCTTAGATGTTACTTTAGACTTGAATTCCAATCGATTCGTGCCATACAGAAAACCCCTCAACACCACGCAATATGTAGACAGTCGTTCCAACCACCCTCCCTCGATAATAAAGCATATACCGAAATCAATAAACACGCGTATATCATCCCTTTCATCCGACCAAAAGGCGTATGACCAGTCAAAACCTTTTTACGAAGAAGCCTTGAAGAAAAGCAACTTTAAGGAAACCTTACAATATAACCCCCCAGAACTAAACGCATCTGCAACACCGAAACGAAAGAGACATAGAAACGTTATATGGTTCAATCCCCCATACAGTAAATCAGTTAAGACAAACGTTGGAGGAAGATTTCTGCAACTTCTTGACAAACATTTTCCTCCCACAAATCCACTTCACAAAATATTCAACAGAAACACGATTAAAGTTAGTTACAGTTGTATGCCAAATGTTAAGAATGTTATTTCACGGCACAATCAGAAAATCTTAGGAAGAAGCGAAGCTACAAAACCTGAAACACCATGTAACTGTATAAATCAGGATGAATGTCTCCTGGATAACAAATGCCTGCAAGCTGAGAGTATCGTATACAAAGCAGTTGTAACATCCCTGGATGACGGTTTGAAGAAGGAATATAATATACGCATGACAGCAAATTCATTTAAAGAAAGATACCGCAACCATAAGAAATCTTTTAATCTTATTCGGTATGAGAAAGAAACTGAACTGTCGAAGCACGGGCAATAGGACAGGTGTAGTGTTGTTAAATAAAAAGTTAGAAATGGTATTGTACTTACCCATGTATTATAATTATGTTTAGAAGATCAGAATATTCATAAATTCTTATTTTGTTTCATAAATAGTTCTTTAATATTCGAAACAAATTCCATATCTGCTTCGTCTGCCATCGCCATGTTTACTCGTCCCAATCTACATGCTGCACGGCATTGCCGCCCCTCCTGGCAAAATAATAAGCAAGCGAGAAAAATTAAGGAGAAAATAAGAGGGTAGGAACATTGTGGGCGTTTCGTGGGCATGTCATCGTTCTGGGCGAATCGGCTTTCGCAATCTTGTATCACATGACTAATTCAAATCGTCATAGGCGGGAAGCAGCATTACGTCATCCCTACGTCAAATAAAACGTTATAAAACGCGTTGAGGATACGTTTGTGCCATATATGGAAGTTATGGATACGTTTGTGCCATATATGGAAGTGTCACTGCATCCAGCTTATGACAACGATGTTCCTACTCTCTTATTTTCTCCTTAATTTTTCTCGCTTGCTTATTATCTTGCCAGGAGGGGCAGCAATGCCGTGTAGTATGTAGATTGGGGCGAGTAAACATGGCGGCGGCAGACAAAGTAGATGTGGAATTTGTTTCGGATATTAAAGAACTATTTATGAAACAAAATAAGAATTTATGAATATTCTGATCTTCTAAACATAATTATAATACATGGGTAAGTACAATACCATTTCTAACTTTTTATTTAACAACACTACACCTGTCCTATTGCCCGTGGTCGAAGTATATATGCGAACTTAAATTTAAAGGGAAGGCTTTTGCCATCAATTGGTCTATTCTGAAACATTCAACACCCTACGCGTCCGGTAGCACGCGATGTAATCTGTGTAACGAGGAGAAACTATCCATTATGAAAGCAGACCAGAAAACGTTACTTAATAAACGATCGGAAATCTTCGGAAAATGTCGCCATAAAGATCGGTTCCAAGTTGGAAGTTTTCATCGCAAGCGCGTGCGTCAACGAAAATCATGAAATCAAACAAACTAATTAAACGGACATAAACCGCCTGAAGATCGATCAGACAAGTTCGTGAAACTCAGAGTAGCGAAAAAACATGTTATTTTAAGATATTTGTAACGTTAATTACATGATAGCTCTACTGTATTGTTTATCAGTAGTATTGAGCACTCTTTTTAGTCTTTCAACGAAAAACAACCCGTTTATATATATGCTCTATATATATATGCTATATATATATATATATATATATATATATATATATATATATATATATATATATATAAAGATATATATATATATATATATATATATATATAAAGATATATATAGATAGATATATAGATATATATATATATATATATTACTTTCATCCTGCTCATCAGCACTACACTGATGAGGCCCAAAAGGCCGAAACGGGTACCGTCTGTAGTTAGATATTGCTCTATGGCCTTTGTGTCATATTGAGCAATCTACAGGATGAGCCATTGCTGCTTACGCATTGTGCGCATGGTCACTGCTTGCAGTTTGAGCACTCTGGCAATGGTTTGATGCCCCACATTCGTGAGACATCAAAGGTAACTATTAATAGTGGTTACTTTCATCCTGCTCATCAGCACTACACTGATGAGGCCCAAAAGGCCGAAACGGGTACCGTCTGTAGTTATATATATATATATATATATATATATATATATATATATATATATATATATATATATATATATATATATATATATAGAGCATATATATATATATAGATAAATAGATATATATATAGATAGATATATAGATATATAGATAGATAGATATATACACACACATGAGTGCCGAATCATACGAATAGATATTCTAACTTATAGGTAACTTGAGCTATTACATAAATGTTTGATGTCATCAGGAAAGCGTAAACCTATGTCTGTAACCTGAGCTATTGCCTGCAGAGCAGGAATTTTTTTCTGTACCTACATGTGTATATTAG